GCATTTGCTTCTAATTGCCCAAAATATTGTGTTTTTCTTTGCGGATATCTTTCTCTTGGCTTTTTATCGGTTTTGAGGATGTATTGGTCTCTTCACTCCCTCACCTTTCTTCTGTACAGTCCCCCTCCGCAAGACCTTGCATTTGATATTCGCAACAAGGAGGGATCAGGTCGATCAATCAGTTCTCCGCGCGAGCGACCCGAGCGATGCGAGCCACGTGAGTCGTTCAGGTTTCACCTGAGACGACAGGGCTGCAGGCACGGGGTTGAACTGACATCTTGGGTTCACTGTAGTTATCTCCACACCCAGGACTCCAGGTTTGAAAAGGTATGAGATCAGGCCCCTTGTCCCTCCTTTGGAAAACACTCCATGTCTGGACTTCTGGGTGGGATGCAGGTCGCATGGAAGGTCTAATCCAAGCAGTCGTCAGGGTTGGGTCGCCAGGTTTGGGTTCAGCAAGTGCAATTTTTTGTCTCTTCGATCCCAGAAACAGAGTGTACATAATTACAATGGGTTTGTAGCCCTCAGCAGACAGACATAGATATTTTCTATCGCTCTGTAAGCTTTTGACCATTGCAGGCAGCTGAGGGTCTTTCTATGCCCACTCTGATATAGCTTCTTTTTGACCACTTACAGAATCCTTTAGAAGCCTTTACCCGGAACTGCAATCCAATAGTGAAGCCGCCATAGTTATTTTGCCAAATGCCACAAAGCCCATGAGCTCCCATGAGTTCTCTGTTGTACCTGTAAAGTTTACTTCATGCAGACATTGCAGGCTCCGCGGAACTTGTGCTGTAGGCAGACGTTTGGCAGGCTTCGATCTTGCTAAAGATGTCAGCATGAGCTGTTCATTTGCAGTACAAGGGGCGCATGTGGAAGCAGGTCAGTTCTTGGGCAGGAAGCTAGTGTCGCGACTACACAACAAGGGTCAGAGTTTAGAACCCGTCCAAAAATCCCTGCCAGTGCATTCTGATGGTTTCGGGGTTGTTTCATTGTGCTGTTTTGTAGAGGAGATCGTGGGCGACTTCTATCTCGAGGCGTGCGGTGTTGGAACTGGACGATCTGTGGAATTTTCGTTGGTCCGGGGAAGATCTCCAAGAGCAGCTTCTCCCAAGCAGCCTATGTAGATCAGTTCAGGGAACAAGATGTGTAGCCCTTGTAAACGGCCATGAACCACAATCTTGAGCTCCGAATACTGGATCAGTCAAGATTCAATGAACATCTGGCTTTCCATCTAGAAAAAGAGTCCGAGTCTTCTCTTGGTCGTATGTAGGAAGCGAGTTTACATCCGAAGAGAGGGACATTTTGGATCCAGAGCGGCGTCCTCTTGCTTGGGCAACTACTTGTAGTTGAATGTTTCTGGTTGGATCAGACCACAACCACAACCCATCTCCATCTCCCGGACTCTCGGAACCCGCCGGAACCGCAGCTGCCTGGATGCAAAGCGGGTGCCGCTCAGGGCTTCCTTCACTATTTTTCGGCGGTTCGAAGTGAACTGATTCAGGATGAGGGGTTGCAGCCTCAGCATGTGAGACTGATTGGGCTGGACCAACGGGAGGGGGCCCATGTTGGGGGAGGTGTGAGATAGACATGTCATCAGAAGATTCCACTCTGTCCTGCAGAAGACATGTCATCTTTTGGCTGTGGAGGAGGAGTTATTGAGGTGTTTCTCGCCTCATGGCCAGCGGTCCTTGAAGACAACCGGATCCATTGCCCGAACCACAAGCGCCCGAGCCATCAGCGGAAGCAATCGGTGTGTACGTTTGTCCCAATGTGTCTGGAGGCATCGTGAATCAATGTGTCTGAGGCATCTTTCCTATGTGTATATAGATGGGAAATTCTCGTTGGGTCAAGAGAGTTCTCCCTCTTGCAGGAATGCAAATGCCTAGAACACCAGTCCCAACTGTGGTCCAAGATAAAGCACCTCAAAAAGAGAGAAAAGTCAATCCCCAGACTTGTGTTGGCACCGTTTCATTCTCTACTTGAAGCTGAAGCCCCTTAGCTGATGGGCTAAGATTCATTCGATCAATTATGGACAGGGCAAGAGGTGGTGCTTTTTTTTCCAGATGCAGAAACTCTAAATACGAAACACTTTAAGATCTGGTCCCGAAGCACAAAACACTTACAGATTTGTTCGTTCCGAACTGATGCTCCGTTCTCCATAGACTGTGCCGATGTTCACGTCCCACAGACCGTCCACGTCCTCGTCTTAGGCTTCACATACTAGCGCCGGATTTGGCACGACTGGCCCATGCGGCGCGGAGCTGAGGATGGGCTGACTGAATCTTAATCCTTTCACGTCCTTTCAGGTCCTTTCAGGTCCGTCCATCATTTTTTATGCCATGCATTTGAGATGGTCAGACTTCAAGTCGGTGTTGTCCTGCAGCTTCGACAAAAAGAAGGACCCTCGTCCGACGCAGGCCATCGGAGGTTTCTCCGATTTCGTTCGCCCAGGCGGCCAAAGCTTGGAAGCGGTTGAGCCCCAGCCGCTGGGGTGCCAAGGATCATCGGTCCCTTGTGAAGCCAGCAGGGTGCGCTTGTCCGGTTGGCTTCCGGAAGGATTGGTGCCGAAAGACATGGAGAGATCACAGTGATCTTTTTGGGAGATGACTGTGGAAAGGCGGCTAGACTCTGAACGCTTGACGAATGGAGACACCATGGGTCACTATGAAAGCAACATGGCGTCTGAGTTTTTCAAGAGACTTGCAGGGCGTCCAAATCTTTCAGAGAACTGAAGGCAGTTGATGGAATCAAAGTCTCCAAACACAGTAGACCCATGGAGTCCATGTGGACCAAAAAACAGTGCTTAGAGTCAAGGCCTTTTGAGGCCGACGCATGTGAACATCGACCACTACACATGAAACACTTGTTCTTTTTTCCGGCTTGACGAGCCTGCTGAAGACTCTGCGGGCGCATGTGCGCGCCATGACCCCTTCTCACCGTGGAATCGTGGAATGCCCACGAGGTCAGCGTTCCTTTCAGGAGCATGCCATGAACCAGGTGCGAAGACACTCCCAGGGTGTGCAAATGGCTGATGCAGTCTTGACATCGAAAAAAACATGGGGAAAAAGACCCTGAGGACTATTCGCCTTACCAGGTAACTCTCTCAGATTCATACACTGGACATGCCTCCGTCTCAGCCATTTGGGGTACCTCTCCGAAGAGAGCCTTTGCGTGAGAGTCTTTTGATTTGGAGAAAACGTGGGCGAAAGAAACTCGAGACGAAAGGCTGTGAAGTCTGTGAAAGGCCGCTCCTTTGTTTGGAACATGCAAGCAAGCGGTTGTCTTGCTCAGAAGCTTGAATCTAGGGTCTGCATGGATGAAAGAGGCGTAGGCCATGGTAGGTAGTTGAAGATCCTGCCAGACCATCCTGCTTGTTATCATGATATATTGAAGGTTTGGAGGTGATATAGTAATTCTGAGTCATCATGGCCAAACCCAAACCTGTCTTCTTGACACCGAGAATTTTGCCTACTTGAAGACAGCAGTCTTCATTGTCTAGAAGTGTTGACGTGGAAGACTCGAACGAGAGACACCCCGAATACCCAGCTGTGTCGAGGCACATGAGAGGAGCTACGATCGTGCGATCGGCGGTCTGGGCATGGTGTGCGTTGGGTGCTGAAACGGAAGGCAATCAAGGTTTTGTTTGACAGTCTTGGGGACTAACTATGAATCGCGAGCAAAACTGGCAAGCTGTATACCAGCTTACTTAGTCAAGGTGAATTGCGGCTCGCAGTTTCTTTTGCGAGCGGAAACCAAACACACAGGACCAAGGGGTGACTTTGGAGACCACCAACTCGGGATGTCCCTCATGGAGCAACCAGGAACAGACAGACTTCCGATGCTCGTCGAAGTGCCACAGACCGGTCCCAGCCGTCACGACCTTTAGGAAGACTCAAAGAACAGAGTCACCCTGTCAAGAATCCAGTCCCCACCTCATCGCACCTCAAAGAGTGCCATTGTCAACGGGATCATGGGAATTGTTTGCTGTTTCTACATGAAAGCATCGGATGTGAGCTTTAGCTTGTTTGACCGTCATGCTTCCCTAAAAGAGGGTGAGTCGTAGGTCTGTTCTCATTCTTAGTTTGGAAGGGACATTGGTCGAGTCTTTTGCTTCGTTTGGCTGCTGACCCCTGACCATGCGTGCGGATGTTTGTGCAAATACTATACTCCACAGTCAAACCCTAAGCATCCCGGAGCAGTGCTTCAGCAGCTGGTCATCTGCAAAGGACATCCTAGCCAAAGTTTGCCCCTAGGATCATGAGTACCAGTAAGACGATTCATGATAATTCCAAGCCCCTGACAAAGCACTGAGACCACCAATTTGGAAACAGTGGTCGTCGTGGTCAGGCGTCAGGTTTGCAAGGAGTTGATGAGTCTTTGCATGTTATTTCTATCCAAGTGGTTTTGTCAGGTGTTGATGAGTCTATCCAGATATGATCAGAAGAACTGATTGTTGGAATCGAACCGCCACCAACCCACGAGCACCCTCCGTACGGTCGGGCCAAGCACGCACGCCACAGCGTTTTGGGCCAAGCGACCGGGGGGGGACTATCGTGCCGCGGACAGGCCGCACAGGCGTTGTACTCGTATGCCAGAGAGTGGTCAAAGCTGACCTGTGTGCGGAGATGAACATCTATCATCCAAGTACAAGCTATTTGGCTTTTACCTCAATCAGAATAGGATTCGCAGCCACATCTGTGGCTGAAGATGGTTGTTGGAAGGGACTGCATGGTTGATGGTTTTTTGCAGCCCTCGTTCTGAAAAACTTGGCGACCCGATTTCTGTGTCCGGTCAAGTCCAAAGGACCAAAGGCTTGGCACCATGTTCTCGTGTGGTTTTCCATGTTCTCGTGTGGGTGGAAACACCTTGTCGGGTGGTCAAGTCGCACTTTGGATGTTGCAGTTCCTTCAAAAGATGGACAGGGAACTGCCTGACCAGGACCTTCTAAGGTGACCGGCGCACGTGGATCGGCACGAAACCCGCCATGCTCCGAGGCCATGCTCCGCCTGGGGCCGTACCCGCCCCAGCTCATTGAGATTTCCGATCCTGAGGAAACGGTATTGAGGGGTTGGAAGCGTGGTGGGAGGGGTTCAGGTTTATTCCGCCTCAAGCAGAGCAAGTGCTGGTGACTCGAGTGTGAAAACGAGACAGTGTGGTGAGTCACGAGGCGCTGCGGACGATCCAAAAGAGTTCCGGCTCAAAGCATCCAGGGTTGGTTCCCAAGCACCAAGCTCCGACTGCCCCAGAAAGCGCATCTGAAGGTGTCAATCAAAGCAGAGCCTTTCAATTGCATGTGCCCATCCCGGGTGTGTGTGTGTGTGTGTGGGTGTGCTCTTTCCAAGTCAGAAGAGTTGGAGAAACTGCAAATTTGGATCCATCATCTCTGAAAGGCGTTGGTCCGAAGCGACCCGTTGGGGCGGCGATCAATTGCTCGAAAGGCGTCGTACTTGGTCGTGGGTGTGTTGTTACTTGCTTGGTCTTGGGCGAGGGCGCGGGCGAGGGCGTGGTGACGGCAGGAGCTGTGGACTGAGAAGGCAGATGGTGTTCCACTCCTTGCCAGTGAGCTTGACGCCTGGGGCCGTGGTGACCGATGGCGCAACTGGTGCAGTTTCGGCTGCCAGTTTCGGTTGGAACCGGCTGGTGAGATGCTGATGTCTTCCAAAGGCTTCATTGAAAGGAAGGATGGATAAAGCTAAATCTTCCAACTACAGTATATATGTCATCTCTTTTTTTGAGCCTTTTCATCCAGACCGGCCAGCTTTACACATGTTGCCCTCGTCCGAAGTCCGGTGGATTAACATGGTGGACCTGAAAAGAAATCAATCATGGTAGACTCGCAAGCCTAGTAGCGTCCTTGTTACTACTAGTAAGGCACTTGTTACTAGTAGCGATGCACTTGTTACTACTAGCAAACATTGGTAGACTCGCAAGCCTAGGGTAGTTGGAAGATCCATGGAGACTGCAAGCGAGGACGACGACACGGTGGGGAGGACGCGTCCTCCGCAGACGGCGACCGCAGACGCTTCGCCTGGTCCGGACCCAGGTCCTGACGTTCCCGGAGGAGCGTGTGGAAGTCTTGGAGGTGCGAGACGTCCGCGACACGGAGACGTCCGGCAGAGTAATGCGCCACCTTTTAAGGGGTAGAAAGCAGTCCTGACAGGTTCCAAGCTTCAGGTGAGGAGTGCGAATTTGAGTTGGAAGAGCATGGAAGAGCCCATTTCCTTTGCCCATTTCTCTGCGTGGGGCTGGGAGACCCACCGGAGAAAAGCCTGTGGGTTTTATGTGGGTTTGGACTTGGTGTCAGCTTTGACGAGTCCTCGAGGGTGGTGTTTGGGACGCTTCGACGTCCCGATGTCACGTTGGCACGGTACCAGTTTCCGGGAGAGACTTCCGGAGGACCCGAAAGGATCTTTGCACCATTGGGACCCAATAAAAGATAGTTGTTCCACATGCAAGTCGTGTCCAAGGGATGGTGGCCCTGGATATGGTCGCCCACTGGGCTACATTCGTTTGAATGGACAGTGGCAAATCTGGTGTTCCCAACGGATCGAGGGATTGGGCGCCCCAAATCCGTCAAGCACATGGTTTTTTTTCCGATGTTTTCCTTGCCCTGATGTTTTTGGGGGCGCCGCGGCCCAGGCGAAGCCTGGCTCTTTGCAGGAGACGTGAGAGCGAGAGAGAGAGAGAGAGAGAGGGAGCTGCACCGGCAGCCGAACTGTTGAGGTTTAGCAGGAACGAAATCCTTTCTGTTTTGGTTTGCCAATGAGCCTCTTTGGACCATTTAGGTGCCTAGAAGTCCAGTTCGACTACACTTGATCTCAACCTTTTCCTCAGCAAAGGATTCAGTACCACCCAGTCTGGATGAGTCTAATCAGGCAACCAATGGTAGGAGGGCAGTTCTGTTCTTCCACCCTGAGGGGAAGCAAGGATTGACCCCGTCGTCGCCGGATGATGGACCGACGCTTTTCGACCCGCAAGGAGCACATCAACGCGGTGGTGGGCTTCAACGTTTGCCGCAAACTGGGCCAGCCGGAGGTGCCCGTTAGTGTCTGCGGGTTGTGGAGTGAGAGCGAGAGCAGGAAAAGCATGTCAAGCAATTATTTGTTGTGTCTCTGGAGCTTTTTTAAGAGGTGTTTCTTAGCTTTTGATCTGGACGAAATGAAGGTAACACATCAGGAACCCGCCGTTGCTTTACTTCATACCTGGATCTTCCAGCTCAGCTGCTATGCAACATTCCTGCCGAACCTGGGTTGCTGATGAAAAGCTCGGTCTACCTCCCTAGACCCGGCCCAGGCTTTTTCGGAGTTGTGGCTGGACAAAAACACGAAAAGCTTCAAACGCCACCCCCCTGGGTAACCATGTTTGTTGTTTCGCTTTGAAAAACACGACGCTTCGTGTGGTTCTTCCCCGGCCACGATGTGGTTGGATCTCGGGGCCCAGGAGCTCCGCGAGCGCGCCGGCGAGGCGCTCCGCGCGGCGGCGGCCCGCCGGAAGGAGGCGCCGGAAGGGGCGTTTGTTCGGGTTTGGAAGGAAGGGAGAGGTCCTGAAGATGGGTCCCATTTTTGGGGTCTGAAAGAAAAGATGGTTCTAGGTGGTCTGAGCTTTCTTTTTCGTCTTTTTTCATAGGTATACCCTGGGATTCCTGGTCCACCATTGAATCAATGGCATACAAAAACCTGGTTGGACTGTTTTTTTTGTGGTCAGTGAAGGCCTATACATAAGTACACACTCTGCGCTGCTGCTTTTATTTACAGTATATACATGGTTTGCGGTCTGTTCCTTTCGCGAGCTTTCGTGACGAGCGTTTTTGTGGCAGCCTTTTACGTGCAATTAAGGATACCAGAAGGATGGTTTGATGTCGAAAGGACTTGTGCTCTGAAGAACTCTCCGGGTCATTTTTTGGGTAAATGGTAAGCATAAAAGAGCGAATACCCATGAAAATCAATGCCCTGAGTCTCTTGCCAAGAGGACATGCTTTGATTTCTATGTATGTACCTTTGCAAAAGTATCAAGTCGAAAGAAAGCAGATGTGTAAAGAGAACGTGCCACAAGTAGAGCCTGAGGAAAGTAAATCCAGAGACGTCAAACGCAGTCTGTGCCGGCAGTCTGGATGTGAACCAATGATTTCCCGCTCTTCAGCGGGGGCCTTTCAAGTCACCTGACTTCGTCACCCCAACGTCCGCAGGAAAAGACTGCCTTGGCCCCTTCTGGGTGCGGGGCTCGGAGTGGTGAGCCCGAGCCTTTCTCCCAGGTTGAAGCGTTTGGAAAACCCCACGTGCTTCGGAAGCGGAAGATTCCGATAGACACCCATTTTTGATGATGGAGTTTCTTGGAAATCGTACTAAATCGTAGGAATTCATCATATTCGATCAATCTGGCTTGGGACCAAATGTTCACCAAAGCAGGCAAGTTCAAGCACATTTTACCTGTTAAAGGATGTCAACAGATTGTCCCCCGTGCCCAGCTTGAAACACCAAGGTCCGTGACCACGGGCACCCCGTCCTCGTCACAGTCGGAAGTGGGCGAAGTGGGCAGCAACGGGGAGGAGGAGGCCGGGAAGGAGCAGAGGAGGGGCCGGGAAGCGGTGTCTTGTTGGGTGAGGATGTGAAGATGTCCGTTGGACGGTGAAAGGCGGAAGGCCGAAGGTGACGAAAGGGACTGATTTTTACCTGGGTTCAGTGGAAAGAAGGGAAAAAGATGGCGATTCGGGGTGTTTTTATATAGGTGTTGGTGGAGGAAGATTCTATAGAACCAAAGTCTGGTTCCAAGAAAGAGAGAATACATGACAGGAGAAGGGACAGTCTTGGGGAATCAATTCTTCCAAATCCTTCGGCCCAACAAGACTCCAGACTATTGTTATCAAGACTCTTCGAGGTTCATCATTTCTATGCACAACTACTGACTCAGATGACTCGGTGCTTTGAACTGCAGATCTGGGCCGGTCTTAAGGAGTGAACCTTGAGACCTTCTAAAGCCCCAATGTTTTGACAAAAGACCTATGTTTTGATTGGAGATGGAAGACCTGCAAAGTCGGTTTATCAGTTCACATTCCACACATCCGGCGAAGATTGCTGTTCTTGTACAACACAAAACCCAATGTCAGGACCTTCCCAGTGACCGAACTTCAGGATTTGTAGGACCAACAAATGTGCTTCAATTTGCTTCCATGCGTCCTTTCACAGCTTGACCTTCTCTCAAGTTTTGCCAGGCTTTTTGAAGAGATTGTTTTGTTTTGCTCTTTTTGTTGCTTTTTTCTTGCTCTTTGTTTTGCTGTGTTTTTGCACTACTTATCCAGACAGTTTTCCTTTCTGCTTTTTGTTTGCTTTTATTATCAACTTTTTCTTTTCAATGATTCTTAGACCTTGGCCCTAAGTGGCGAACATCATCGTAGGTAACCTTTTCAAGATCGAAGTGGCCTCAGCCACTGGGATCTCAAAAGGCTTACTGGGAAGGTACTGGCTGTTTGGGTTCAAAAGCCATTTGGCAGTGGGTCAAAGCAAGGGGACCCTCGTTGACCACCGCAAATGAACAAAATAGATCACCAGACACGGTCAACCTGTCCAGGTTTTGACCCACTGCCATTTGTTCAAAGGTCCTGGCCAGATGGGATGGGTGTGTCTTTTTTTTTTCCGAACAGCGAAGCCGCTAGGCTTGGGACGAGCGGCGCCGACCACGCAGGGAGGTGGCCAGCTCAGGGAGACGCGATTTTGAAACGCACTGAATAGCAGGTCCGTGACGTCATGTCCTTCTTTTTTGCAAGTGTCCAGAAAGAACTCTATGCAGGCAGGATTAGATAGGCAAGATAGGCAAGCAAATTGTTTGCTCTCCCTGAAGCAACGTTGAACCCTAAACAGTGAAGAAACCTTCACACCTTAAACGTCGGCCAGTTCTTGTAAATGTTGGATTGCAATGTTTGCCCCCGTGTGTTCCAAGTCCTCGCCACCGAAAAAGACCAATGGTCCATTCGTGAGCTCAAAAATGGCGCAACTCCTTCCAGACCTCCCGAAACAGCTGTGAGCTGTGAAGAACTTCAGCTGTGAGGCCATCACTTTTCCAGAACCTTCCCATTCCATCCCATTCCCAACTCTTTGGGCCATTGAAACCCTTCGGCTCCGTCCGCAGGTCGCGGAGGACTCCTGGAAGGACGGCAGCGGTGGGGCAGCGGTGCGTCGCTCCCGAAGGGCCGACTGGAAAGACTTGGCCGAAGTTCGAGCCACACCCAGGGCGTTTTTCGTGCTTCACTTGCCGATCTTGCTGAATCAAGTTGATTTGTTTGATTGATCAGCCACTGGAACAAAGCAAGCAGCCAGTTTAACCAGGAACATCCAGGAACTGTCGCATTCACCCAGAAACTTTAGTAGCTTCCAGCACCCACACACAGAACACATTCAACATCATCCAACCAGTCTGCAGGTTATCTCCAAATCATCATTTCTTGTGGGGCGACTTCAGGTGCTGGAAGATTTGCGAAAAGGCTTTCCTGAAGTCGAAGAAACCTGCGGTTTTGGGGAGTCCTGAAGAAACAAGGCCCCCTGATCGGCGGATTTGGAGGTCCACCGGTCAGCTATTCAAAGCTATTCACCTGAGGGCAGCTTTCAATGCATTTGCTTTTAGTGCTTCAGCTGCTCGTGATTCAGTTGAGGAAAGTACTTCATGTTCCATCCAACCCGAGAAGAGATCGGTGAGTTTCTCGGTACAAAAGCTGACTTAGTTGGCCATGCGATATGGCTCTTTGCCAAACAAACCAACTTCCGCGGCTCTTGAAGGACTTCAAACCTGGGACGCAGGATGTCCCGAAGTGAAGCCTCCCAGATCTATTGGGCCAACCCCTGTTGAGGCCTTTGTTTTTTTGCCTTTCGGGGCAACAGTCCATTTGTGTTCGATTGCTGAGTCGGTCCCTCCGCAGACTCCTGTAGCAGGCGACCCGTGCGCAAACTTTTTCACATCGAACGTCGCATTGTCGCTGAACGTCGCATCTCTGCAGCGAACGCCCCGCGAACGCGGTGAGCTCCAAACGGGGCCGTCCCAAACCCAGGGGGCCACGTGGGACGCCGAGTCGACTCTGCGTGCGAACCGCAGGAGGAGTGGCCCTTCAAACCTCCGGGCTGCTTTGATCCGGTCGGCCTGAAGTTAGCGTTCAGCCGAGCGGTGAAGCACTTGGTGACCTTCTCTTAGAAGCTACTAAGTGGAGGCCATGGCTATTAGGTTGGAGGCCATTACTAGGAACCAGTAACTCTCAGGGTGGTTTATTGACCCCCCTGAAGAGGTATTTTCCATCTAATAACAACCCTTTAGGTGGTGCTGGAACAAGAAGCTACTAGTCAAAGCGTTATGAATATCACCCGAGAATGCACCACCGACATCCAAACAGCAAGTATGGACAATGGTGGAACGGCCCTGAGCTGAACATGAAGAGCTTCTTCGAGCTGCTCACTGCTCAGGGTGCTGTCCTACAGATGAGTCTTTTTTGGGCGCCCAAAGGGATCCAATCGTGGCCTCCAAAAGTCGGTTTCTTTGGTCTTTTGGCTCACACCAAACTAGGCCACCAATCCTAGATCCCTATTTCTTTCCAGACTCCAAAGCCTGAGATTTTTGGCTTTTGGCAGGGCATCCTCCATCTTGGCCTTTTTTTCTCCCACAGCAAAATAGAGAAGACATGCGCCTTATAAGTCGCTGGTAGCCGCCACAGGTGCCGCAGCTCAAGGCCGAGTACTTCCAGGACCAGCAGCAGAAGATGCTGGGAGCCTGGTTTGAACGAAAGGAGGGTCTCTCGACCCCAAAGGAGGAGGGTCTCTGCCCGCTGACGTTCTGACACCGACCTTTGGCTGCGGGACGGTCGCGAGACTTTTTCAGGAGACTTAAGAAATTGGAATCGATCTGCTTTCTACATCTGATACTTCGGTTTTTGTGTTTTGACATTCTCTAGAAACCAGGAGAGAAGGAGGCTGGTGAAGGCAGCCTCCATCTGGTGCCGCCGGGTTTGCAAGTTCTCCAAGCAAGCACCGACTCAGTTGCCTTCCAATCTTGGGGGTTTCCATGGGTTTTCTCCAACAGGTTCTTGTACGGTTTTAACAAGCCAACACCACTCCATCGCATCCCAATCCTTGGTGACACCTCCAAAGGTTCCGGCATGGGGTGGCTGAGGTATGAACAGTACCTCGAATTGCAGCGTTATCATCAGGCCAGCACTGCTCTTCCGAACGTATTGTGGATGAACTTGCATCTGGCCGAACTGCTGGCAAGCAGCAAAAACAGCTTCCTTCCATGAATTCCCTGCAGGTCAAAGACCTCATTTTACTGGAGTTGGTCATACAAAAACACTACTCAATAAGGCTTTCAGAACCAGGTTCATGCTTTCCTCTTCCATTCTTCTGGACCAAAGTGCCACCCTTGTAGGGAAGGCCTTCAACAATCCGACTTTTTGGCAACCTGGCAGGGTGTGCGGTTTGCACACCACGTCCGTGTTGAGTGCAAGGTTCTCGATTTCGAGGTTTGCACTATGACAACCCGTTTTCGCAAAGAGATTTGAGCTACAACGGTCCCTCAAACAGGTTCCTGTTGAAGAAGAATACAGTAAGGAGTTTTGACCGTCCCTCATTTGTTTTTTTGCCTGGGAGGTACTGGAAAGGCAACACCGTGAGCTGCAACACCGCTTGTTGCAGAGACTTGGACTGCAGAGACGTCGGACGTGCGGACATACCTGTCTTTGTCTCGTACAGCGGAGAAAGAGAAGGATCGTTCGTGTCGTGTGGAGCTCCTCCCCCTTCTGGCGTTCGGAACTGAAAAAGAAGAATGGCCTCAGGAGGACTGAACTAAACCCAACCCCAAGCACCCGCTCAGATGGTAGTTGGAGGGGGATTGGTATTCTAAAATGCATTGATTCTGAAGGATTCCCCGGCGTCCATGAGCCGTCGCGAGCATCAGGCCCTATCTCAGCAGTTTCGTGGACCCTCTCATGCCCTCTCCTGAGTGGCCAGACACGTGGGCTGGTGAGGTGTCGGCATGCGGTGCAAGTTTAGCGCGGCAAGAGGTTCAGATTTTCCTCACCTGTTGAAGAACATCTGGAGCGCATGAGAGCAGGAGTGCTGATCATGAATTGCACACGTGACGGATCACCATTCGGTTCCCCACATCACTGTGCTTGTCTGATCCCAGTCCGTCGACCGATCGGGCCATCGATCGCCATCTTCGATCGCCCCGGCGCACGACCGATCGCCCCTGGTAGGAGATCGGCCTGATGGGCACCGACGGCTTGGGTTTCCAGAAGACCACTAGAGTCACTGGAGTCACGTCGGCCAACGACCTCCGACTCCCAACGACCTCCATCCGTCACAGGTCGCAATATCAGATGGCGCAGAATGTGCTCTCCTTTCAGGAGCGAGCTCAGGCCCAGGCGAGGGGCGATTCGCGTGGGTTTCGAGCGGAGAAACGTCTTTTGGGTGCGTCGTCTTTTTGGTAGGGTTTAGGGTTCCCCCAAAATTCGGAGCCTAATTCGGCGAGGTCTGGACGAAACGAACTGGATTTGGGAGAACCATTCGTCGCTCAAAAGGAGAAGTGGATCTGGCTGGTCTTTCGATCCAACGAACCTACCACCCCGAAAAAGGAGAAGAGACCCGGCCCTGTGAAGGTGGAGCACTGCGCTTGGGATCCACCGGTTTCGCAACCGCCTTTGGGTGGCCTTCTTGGCGGCTTTTCCAGGTGTTTTATTGCCTTCATAATTAGCCTCTTGATTATATATATATAAATCACCAAACCGTATGAAGAGGTTTTGCCATCCATGTCTGGGCGGCTGCTGACTGGCCAAAAGCCGTTGATCACGCGTCTTGCTCAGGCGGGGCTCTACAATTATTTGGAGCCCGTGCCCAAGAGAAGAAGGAGAGGTTCTGATCCTTGAGCTAGAAGAGGTCGGGAAGCAACAGATTCTTTTTGCTTTGCTTCACTTCGATGTATTTGGCCTTTCCGAGGTCCTAGGTATTTTATTTGGGTGGTGGGCGCCTGCCAGCGAAAGAGTTAAAGAGAGAAAAGCATGACCCTGGTAGCAGCGGTTGCTTTTGGCCGGTGATATCACACCAGCAGAACTTGGATCTACGGCTGGCGAAACATTTTGTCTAAGGGTTCAGGTTCACAGACGGGGATTCATGAGCTATCAAACTTCGATGTGAGCACTGGAGTTGACTAACACGAGATTTCACAGAATCACCACCCTGCTTGGAGCTCTCAAGACATGTTCCGAAGACTTTGGCTTTCGTGTCGCGACCCTCCAAGGCCACCTGCAGTCGAGCCCCAAGACAGGGTTGGAGATGGCTGCTCAGGGGAACACCTTTCCGAACCAAAAGCACCTGGTGGGTGAAGTGGACCCAGCTCGTGACCCAGCACGACCCGGTTTTCGTGCTCCGTTCCTTGGGTTTCCGGTGTTTGGCTCGAAATCCCCGGCGTTTGGCTCAACGACGTTTGGGTCTTTTCGGCGACCAAAAAGCCGAGACCGGGAGACCGGGAGACGTCTTTTTGGAAGATCCTTTGGAAGCAAAGCGAGAAGGGTTGATGGTGCTCGTGACAAAGGGCCGAGTCGCGTGGTGTGGCAAAATTGAGACGCAATCTGTCAGGATCTGTTTCCTGTGGCAAAATTGACCACGTCCCTGGGCGCCTAAAGCAGGGTCCAAAAAACCGTCGGCACCGTTTGGAACGCTCAGCCCATCTGGGTCCGAACAAGGATCAAGTGTTCAGGCTTGCCCCTCGCTGCAGAGCTGTTTCCGACGAAGCAACCAGCTATTTTTTGGCGACTTTGGATACCCTCAGCATTCCTCAGCTGTTTCTCGCTCAAATCCCTGGGTTGGCACTCTTGGGCAAGATGACACAAGAGGCGAGGAGTTCTGT